AAAAAAAAAAAAGCATACAGAATTTCCAAAGTCAATACATTAGATCAATGTCTGCAGCGCAGCACAATTCATACAGGTAATGCAGTGTTGTACCATGTGTTTCCATTCCTCAATGCTAATCACTTTTGATTTGAAGACAGGCTGTCAAATGCCATTAATCTGTTTACCATACCCCACCACCCCCGACAGAAGGCTTTACTTTCTCTTTTTCAAATAATTTCAGAAAAATTTTGTCAAGCAGAATGACTTTTTAAATAAGCAACTGTTAAACAGGTTTAAATAGATCATCATGATTTAAGAGTAATAAAGAACGCATACCAAATTCATGCAGGGATTTCCTAAAGTTCTCTGTCCACTTTAACTTTGATCACTTTTCCAGTAAGATTCAGATTTCCCAATTACTACTTTTGGGTTTAAATTTGCTTGAGAAGTCTCTATTTTTCTAAATTCCATGACCATTAAATGTTTTGATACATTCCCACTGCAACCACCCTATTTCAAATCTAGACTTGAATTAGGAAGCTCTGCAACCAACTATGGTACTTGGGTAATTTCTCATATTCTCAAAGTTCCTTAACCTACAAAATGAAAACGTTAAGATCTACCTATCAGGGTCATGGTGAGTATGAAATGAGACAGTATGCATGAGCAAGCCTAGGACAGGGCCTGGCCCCAAGCAGGTGCCAATCACCTCTAAGAAACCATCCTCTTTTCTCCCTCCTCAGTTCTCCTTTCAGACTTCACAGCAAGACTCATCCTGAAAGATGAATGTGGTCTCCTTACCCGTCTACTCAAATTCCTCCAAAAGTTCACCATACTCTAGGCCAGTGGTTCTCAAAGTGTAGTCCCCAGACCAGCAGCACCTCTTGCACTTGCCATTCCAAATTTCCTCTAAGGAAAGTTTACTATCTTCCAAACCTACCACTCTCCCAACCCCAAGATTTGACTCATCTTTTATATCCTTCCCCCTCAATGATCTCTCTCCTAACCAGCTTAAAATCTTTCCTAACAATCCCAGTCTCCAGGACTTTTTCTGATCTCTAATTCCAATTATTTCTGAGTAATTATTATTCAATTATTTGTTCATCTAATGATGAAGTTTATGTCTGGATAAACCCACTGCAAAATCAAAAAATTTTTAGCTGAACCATTTTTAAGTGAAGGATTGTACTAAGGTGAAAAATCTGCAGAGGTACCAAACTAGTTGCACCTGGCCCACCCACAGGTGTTTGTTAACTAAATTAGTTGCAAGTAACATTAAAAATCAAGAAAAATCACTTAAAAATACAGATCTTTGGCCTGTGTTGGAGGAAATAGGATCTGGATTTGAGGGACACCCATTCCCACATGGCAACAATCAGCTATATGGTAACTGTTTCAAGCACTCACCAGCTCTTTCCAGTCTAAATAAAGGTTTTGATATCTTCAAATATCTCAAATGGTGATTTACATTTCTTACGGTTATGTAACTTTTCATGCTTGTTTTCTCTCTCCTAATAGGATACAGCCCTTTAAAAACCCGTCTCTGTCTTTGATTTTTAAAAATCTCGTTACCCTGAACAAAACAGTAGTGTAAAATCACTGTAAAGGAATATTCTGAGCATTGTAGACAACCGCAAAATGCTGAATAATCCACACAGTTTTTCTGGAAACTTTTGGCTTTCTACCAACTTGGAAAGTTTTATCAGCTTATGTTTTCAAAACATATGGATTAGGGTACAACTCTCAAGACAGGCAATGAATACAAAAATTTTATCAGATTATTTTGGTTTAGGTTGCCTTTCATTTTCTAACGAGAAATACATATGAAGACAGCATGTCCTCTGCTTAAAAAGATTTAGCCCCTGCCCGGCACAGCAGGTGACAGAACCTAGATACTGTTCCTAACTTTTAGTTTGAATCCTATTTTCATATCCTGGATTTTATTCCCCGAAAAGAGTTTTAATTTCACTTTTTGGTAGGAGTCACAGCGGCTTTCTCTGACGCGGCCTCGGGTTAACCATTCACCGGGTTTGGCAGCGACAAGACATGAGCCACCTTAACAAAGCTTCCTTGCTGTGGCTCAAAGATAACCTGAGAAACCTGTCCAAAATGAGAATTATAAAACACTGTTTATATACAGGGCCTTCTTTGTTAAACCTTCCATTTGAACCCATTTGCCGACTCCTGCCTGTGCACACAACATCCCCCACCCCTAGGAGAATATTCGGTAATACTCTCCTTTCCTTCCCCCACCCCAAATCCTCCAGGGGGCGCCCCGGAGGGCCGCGCTGGCCCCCGGCGGGAGGGCAGCCGTAGGCGGGAGCCCAGTTCCCACTCCCCGACGCCGCGCGTACTTCGTGTACTCACCCGCCCGAAGCCACGGAAGTGCCGCCTGACCCCGCCCCTTCCGCCGGATCCTCCCTCGCAGGCGCAGCGCCGTCTGCTGGCGCGTGGGACCCGGGGATCGCCTGGGGGCCGGGGATCGCCTGGGGGCCGGGGATCGCCTGGGGGCCGGGGATCGCCTGGGGGCCGGGGATCGCCTGGGGGCCGGGGATCGCCTGGGGGCCGGGGATCGCCTGGGGGCCGGGTGGCGGTACGGGGCATGGCACGGGTCCCCGCGGACGTGGCCGCGCAGTTCCGGCGTGTGGCGGATAGCGCGTGAGCGTGAAGGTCTCCCGGTGTGTGGCGGCCTGCGGCAGCTCTGCGCCGACAAGTTCTCTGGCGGGGGAGGGGAGGGCGGTTTACGGCCTTTAGGGTAGGTTTTGCCCTTCTTAGGTTCCATGGAATCTTTCGTCCCCAAAGTTAGAGGATAACGTTCGTTCCGTCCCGGCCTTCGCGACGCCCTGGAGTCGGACGAGGCCAAGTCCTGCCGTCACCCGCAGCAGCCTGTAGCAGCCGGGACACCCAGAGCCCCTTCTTACACTCCTTGGAAGCTTAAAATGTGGGGTTGGGGAGAGACGCGTTACGTTTGACAGACCGGTGAAATTAAAGACAAGCTCCTCACAGTGATTTGAAGAAATGCTCAGCATTCCACCATAATATAGTTTTAAGTTTTTAAACCGTGGCATGGTTTTTAAAGGCTGAAGGACCCACAATTTTTTCTCTTAAAAGGCACGCATTCATGTTGATTAATATTTCTTAACATGTACCTAGAGCCAGGACTCAGGCTCACTGCTGCAGGGATGTCCTCGGGAAGTCACCCGAGGGGGGAAAGGCGCTAGCCTGAAATGGAGATGAAAATAGGCATATTTGCTACCTCACTGCGTGGGCGGAATGGCAACTCATTTTTAAAAAGCCTCTTAGGTGACGTAATAAGTAGTAAAGCCGTTGTATGCTATTCTAGGATTTTAAAGAAAAACTTAATCTCTCAAGTGTTTGCTATGATGTGATAAAGATAGCATCCATAGGCAGTAGCCAGGATCAAATTATGACAAGTCGATATGGTTATAAATGGGGGCCATGCAGTATAATTAGTATATGGAACCAAGATGTCAGTCCTTACACACAATTTTCATAATGACATGCATTTGGCAGCTATTTGATATAGGTTGATTCTTAATATAGAATAATAAAAAATGAATTACTGGTCTCACCATTTTCATTATTATTTGGACTAAAAGACTACCACAATGCAAAGAGTGATTGTAGACTCAGTAGTCAATGACAGAAAATTAAGCACAAGTCTAAATGAAGCCGAGGATTTAATGGAAATAACATAAAATTAGACCTTTCAAATTTCAGCTATCGAACACAAACAGAATGACAGTTGTTGAGATGGTTTATTTCGTTTCTTTAAACTTGTCATTGCTTGTCTGGACAGTTGTTTTGTTTTGGTAAGCGTTACGTTTCATGAAAGCTCAGTTTGTGCTATCTTAGAAATGAAGAAGTTTTCTTAATTTTAAAACTGACTTAATCCTTACCTGCTTTTCATTCTACAAACTCTAAAACGTTTTCGTTCATGTCACTTTTTTATTCAGATGTTTTCTAAACAACACAGGTTAGGGAACACATTTCTATGGAACAATAGTCTTTTGCAAAATGTTAATAGATGCTTCATGGGAAAAAAAAATGCTGACATCACCAATACTGGCGAAAATAGGAACTTGCCATTATGAGGCTATGGGAAGTACACCTATGTAGTACTCTTGCTAAAAATGTTTAATCTGAATCTGATTATGAGAAAACACTCAGATAAACTCAGAATGTGATTTGTTTGGACCTTTCAATAAGGTTAAGGTGAAAAAAGGCAGGAGGACATTAGAGACAGCTGTCAACTAGACAGCATTAAGGATTTAAACAATTTGAACATGGGCTGGGCACGGTGGCTCACGCCTGCAATCCCAGCACTTTGGGAGGCCGAGACGGGTGGATCTCAAGGTCAAGAAATCGAGACCATCCTGGCCAACATGGCGAAACCCCCTCTCTACTAAAAATAAAAAAATTAGCCAGTTGTGGTGGCACATGCCTGTAGTCTCAGCTACTCAGGAGGATGAGACAGAAGAATCGCTTGAACCTGGGAGGCATAGGTTGCAGTGAGCCAAGATCTTGCCACTGCACTCCAGCCTGGGGAACAAGAGCGAGACTCCATCTCTCAAAAAAACAAAACAAAACAAAAAACCTGGAAGCGTGACATATTGTTGACTTAAATTTCTCAGGAATGATAATGGTATTGTGGTTGTTAGAAGAATTCTTTTGTTTTCAGGAGATACATGTCCAAGTATTTAGGAATGAATCGTGATGTCTGCAAATTTATTGCAGATAGTCCAGACCAAAGCAAAACAAAAACGTGGAAGGAGAGAATATAGAGCACTATATTAACAGTTGGTAGTTTTGGCTGGGCATGGTGGCTCACACCTGTAATCCCAGTACTTTGGGAGGCTGAGGTGGTGGATCATTTGAAGTCAGGAATTCAAAAATTAGCCAGGTGTGGTGGTGCATGCCTGTAGTCCCAGCTACTACGGAGGCTGAGGCAGGAGAATTTCTTGAACTTAGGTTGTGGAGGTTGCAGCGAGTTGAGATGGTGCCACTGCACTCCAGCCTGGGCAACAGAGTGAGACACCAGTCCCAAAAAACAAAACAAAACAAAATAGCTGGTAGTTTCAGGTGAATAGTATATGAATGTTCTTTTAACTCTTCTATAAGTTTGAAATTTTTCAAAATAAATAGTTGGGGACAAATTGTAGCTAGCAATTCTGGAAACCCATTTCTGCCTCCCAGCAGGTGGCAGCAAATTAATACTGGATAAGGTACAGTAAAATCATTGCAATATCTTTGTCTTGGTAAATGTTTTGGATGATGCAGACTGGCTTTTTTTTGGGATAGGAGCCAAAAGAATTGGTGCCAGATAATGGAAGTTTATGTTAATTTATCAACTAGTTGAGAAAGTACTTATATTAATACTGTTCTTCATTGGATCTCTCACAGATCCAAAAGTCCATTTGTAAGCTCTTTTGTTGGACTAACAGTCAAGCTCACTTTATCTTCATAAGCACTCTCCGTAACCATTATTTGGCTAATATCCATCAACACAACAGTTCAAAGTTTATGAAATACAACTATTCTCAGAGGGAAATTGATAGTTTTTTCATGCCTTTATTAGAAAAGAAGAAAAAAAATCAGTGATCAAGAATCAGCAAACCGTGGTCCACAGGCCAAGTCCAGTGCATAGTCTTCTTTTGAACAGCCTAAAAAGTCTAGAAAAACTCATTTTAAAAAATAGACAAATTAACACTATCTGGAATGAAAGAACACTAAAGATTCTACAGACATTAAAACACAGATCTCAACCAGAGGTTTTTTTATCCCCAGGGAACATTTGGCAATGTCCAGAGGCATTTTTGGTTTTCACAGTTGGAGAGTCTGCTGTCAGAAAGCAGAGACCAGGAAACAGCTGAATATTCTGCAGTGCATGAGGCAATTCTCGACAGCAATTTGTTGGCCTCCAATGTCAATAGTGCTGAGATTGAAAAATCCTAATTAAAACCATAAAGGGAGAATATTATAACAAATTCATACCAATAGATTCTGATAACTTAGAATAAAAAGTTTTGGGGGCTGGTGTGCTGGCTCACACCTGTAATCCCAGCACTTTGGGAGGCTGAGGTGGGCAGGTCACTTGAGGTCAGGAGTTCAAGACCAGCTGGGCCAACTTGGAGAAACCCCGTCTCTACCAAAATTAGCCGAGCGTGGTGGCACACACCTGTAATCCCAGCTACTTGGTAGGCTGAGGTAGGAGAATAGCTTGAACTTGGGAGACAGAAATTGCGGTGAGCTGAGATCGCACCGCTGCACCCCAGCCTGGATGACAGTGAGACTGTCTCAAGAAAAAAAATGAAAAAAAATTATCAAAATACTGAAGAAGAAATGGAAAATCTGAGTACTTACACATCTGTTACAGAATTTGAATTCATAATTAAAAAATAACAAAACCTCATGCCCGTTAATGAATTCTATCAAGCCTTTAAAGAACACACAATATCAATTTTATATAAACTCAGAAAATAGAGGAGGAAGGAATAATGACAGCAGAACCCTAAGAAAAATCTAACAGACATTAGAGGAAAAAAAAATCACAAACTAATATTACTCACTAATATGGATGCAAAATTCCTATAGAAAATACTTGCAAATTGAACCCAGAAAAAAGTAAAATACAATGGCCAGTTGTGGTTTATCCAGAATGAAAGATTTGCCCAATATTAATAATAATTTACAACATTAATACAGGAGAAAATCTTATTAATGGCAGAAAAAGCATTTGACACAATTTATTACCAACTCATGAAGACAACAATCACAAAACTAGAAATAAAAGAATTTATAAAGGATCTCTATGAAAGATCAATAGCTATTACACTTAATGGTGAAATATCCAATTCTAGAATTGGGAACAAGGTGAAGCTGTCTGCCCTCACCACTTCTATTCAACTTTGTATCATAAGTTCTAGGTGGTACAATAAATAATTAATAAAAGATAAATATTAGAAAAGTGCAAAACTGTTTTTTCACAGTGGTCTATGTAGAAAATCTGTTTTTCAAAACTACCACATAAATTGTTTTTGTATACTGTCCATGTGGAAAATCTTCAACATCTACTAGATGTTGAAGTCATAGAGTAAAAGCTCAGTATATATAAAAATATGTATACTAGTAAGCAGCGATTGGAAAATGAAATGTTAAAATATGCAATGTCCTATTATATTATATGTTAAAATACGCAATGTCCTATTATATATTTATAATAGTACAGATGATCCCTGACTTAGGAGGGTTTGACTTAGGATTTTTTTACTTTATAATAATGTTAAAGTGATAGGCATTCAGAATGCTCCTTAGGTTACAATGAGGTCACATCCAGATAAACCCATCATAAGTTGAAAATATTAAGTGGAAAACCCACCCACAATTTACAGTATTTTTCATTTAGGATGGTTTTATTCAGACATAACCTCGT